GGGGGGCCCCCCGCCACAGAGCGGGGCCGGGGCAATCGGTGCCTTTCACCTGCACGGCCGGAGGGTTCTTCCCTGAAGACATCAAGGTGAATTGGCTCAAAGACAGGGCCCCGATCTCGGCTCAGCAGCCCCAGATCACCCCTGGGCGGACGAAATCCTCCTACGACATGTCCAGCACCGTGACGCTAACGCTGGAGGCGGACGATGTCCGCTCGCGGCTCATCTGCGAGGTGCGGCACCCCACGCTGACGGCCCCGCTGAGGGGGACGTACCGGCTCAGCCAAGCCCTGCGAGGTGAGGGCTGGGGGGGGACCGGCGCTCGGGGCGTCCAGCTCCTGTGGGGCTGGGGGTCCCAGGGCAGGGACAGGGCACCCCGTCGGCAGCGGAGCCGGGGGACACCAGGCACCAGGCGCTGCCTCTCTTCCCAGTTTCCCCCAGTGTCCGTGTGGTCGCTGACCCGCCAAGCCCCATTGAGGTGAACAAGACCGTGAACTTCACCTGCAACGTGAAGGATTTTTACCCAGGAGTTGTGGCCGTCACCTGGCTGGAGAACGGGACAGAGATGAACGTGGAGAATGTCTCCCGGCTGGTGGAGACCCCCCAGGGCTTGTTCAAGCTGAGTAGCGTGGTGGAGATCAAAGCGGTGGAGGAGAAGAACGAGTCGGTGTTCACATGCCGTGTGGTGCATGATTCCCAGGCCCCCATCGAGAGGATGGCCACCCTGTGGATCGCTGACCCTGCCAGGGATGGAATGAGTGACACATCCCAGACAAATAATGGTGCGTGAGAGCCACTGAGTCCCTGTGGCGACAGGGAGCTGCGGGATTCCTATCCATGAGCCCCAGTTGCTCACATCACCTTGACCCCCCTGCAGGTTTGAACCTCCTGTCCAGCCCCGGCTTGTGGCTTGGCATCCTGCTGGAGAAGGGGCTCCTCGGCAGTCTCCTCATCTTTCTCTTCAAGCGCGCGAGGGCCTGAGGAGGGAAACACCGGCACTGCTTCCTCCTCTGTGTTGGCCCCCGGTTCCTTGGGTTGTGGCGCCGGGTGCATGCCTGGGGGTTTGGCTGCCTCCAGGCTTGTCCTGTGTACCTGGAAATAAAGGTGCTGGGATGCACAAGCTGCCCTGGGCTGATCTGCACCGCTGGTCCCGGGACCCCAGCTCTGCCCCCACCCCACACCCACGATGCAGACCTCAGTCCCTGCGGCGCCCCCGGTCCCTGCAGCGCCCCCGGCCGTGCTCCAGCTGCACCTTATCCTGTGCAGCCCCAAAAGGTGGTTGGAGGAGGAACACCCCCACCCCCCCCATCTGGTGTTTATCTCTGCCCGCCTGCTTGCGTTAGCAACGTGCTGCGGTGACCGGCCTCTGCCCCCCCTCCCCAACCCTTCCGGGGCAGCAGCCGCCAGTGGGGCAGGGAAACAGAACTTGCGGGGGGCTGCCACCGCCACTGCCCCGCTCCGGACTCACCTGAGAGCGGCAGCGGGAAGAGGCTGAGCTGCCCGAGTAGGAGCTGAGCCGACACAACCCCTCTCTCTGGTTGCCCATTGCCAGTGGCCGTGGCCGTGGCTGTGGCACAGGGCTGTGGGGAGAGGGGGACTGACATCACCAGCAAGGACCAGTCTCATGACATGAGATGGTGTCAACGCTCTGGGAACCAGCTGGGACTTGTGCAAGGGGTCTGTGGAGGAACTTGGCGGGCGGTGAGCCTCTTCCTTCCCCTTTGACAGGGTAGAGACCAGCGCCCCGCTGAGCTGAGCCGAGCCGAGCCGTGGGGAGCGGGACGTGGGAATCACCATGGCGTGGGCAACACAGGCGCTGCCTCTCGCCTGCCTGATGCTGCTCCTGCCCTGGAGAGCCCCGGGTGAGTGGGGGCCCCACGCAGCCCCAGCGCCTTTCCCCCGGCACCCTCCCCTGCACCGCTGGCACGGCAATCCTGCCCCCTG